GTTTCTTGATGACGTCTCTTTCCTTTTGCGATACTCGATATGGGTGTTGGTAAATCGGTCTCGTGGCTTCTTCTGTTATAATCCTGTGTTTTGCAATAGCCGTGCGTCGCACCTAAGAGGACGTTGAAAAGCAGTCCGAAAACTCTTTTATAAGGGCGAACAATCGTTTCTTTTGATATTCTGGGAGCCTATGGTTGACGTTAACTGATGCGTCGACGTTGCAGGTCTCTTGTGGAGTGGTTGGCGTTGTCGCTAAACTGCATAGTTCAGTCGCCATGCAGAACTCGTAAAAATAGGCGATAGCCATACCTTGCGCGATGTGCTGACATTCATTCCTAAAATTCGTAAGGAGGACAACTGAGCGGCCATTCCTTAAGTGAACAACACCCCTCGCCACGCAAATTCCTTTGTTTAAAAAGAGCTCTACATTTCCATCTGCTATTCCTTCGTGGTCACAAAATGCCTTATTTTCAACAAGCACCATTACACTACAGCGTGGTGGCACTGTGACGTCATCATCAACAACGCGCAGAGCAGTAAGACGTCGCTTTTCCGATTCCTCCACCGACATAGCTTGTTCGGTCGAAAACGTTACACTGGATCTGCGCAGATTAATTATGGCTCCAATGGTTTGCAGAAAATCCATTCCTAGTATAAGCTCCTTTGAACAGTCCGGCAGCACGATGAAGTCAGCAACGTAAGTAAAGCCTCTTATTTCGAGCCTTGAGGTGCATCTGCCGAGCGGTGTAATAGTGTGGCCACCTGCCGTGCGTATCTGTGCCCCACTCCATTTTGTCACAACCTTTTTCAGTTTCTTTGCCAATTCGTGACTCATTACCGAATAATCAGTGCCGGTGTCAACTAAAGCATTTAGCTCGTATCCATCTATTTTCAACCGCAAATCTGAAGTAATCTTCGCACTGCTGCGCTTATCCTCTGTAAACATAGCATCGTCACCTTGAAACCGTAATGGAAGATCTTCGCAACCGTAGTTATCAGCGGCCCCACCTCCACAGGTCGCTTACTTCAGTTTTCCTGGTGTGGGCTTGTAGAACGGTGCCCAGACCGTGCGGAAGAAGCACGTGGGCTGGGTGATCGGTAATGCCTGGGCGACGGCGATCTTGGCTGATGTTGGCGTGGAGTGAGTGGGCTCTGGCGCGCGGACAAGTACTCTTCGATCTCCGTTGGCCATTCACCGTTTCGAGGGCATGGTGCGTACAACAGAAAGCCCCTTAATCCTGCCTGTCGGTAAGGGCATAACCTATACAGGTGACCTGCTTCCCCACAATGGAAACACAAAAGCCTGCGCTCATGGTCACGCCAGATGTCACTTTTCCGGGGCCTTTGATCCACGTAGCGAGCTACACCACGGGCTCGTGGCAGGTAGGTAGCCGTCGGTTCCAGTGGACGAGGTGCGCTGCGTACCGTTTGTGGGCAAGGAGAGGCCATCACAACTGCTGCATTGGTGTGCGCCGCGGGTTGTCTGAGTACTTCAGAGTATGTTGGGATCAGTGTTGCCATCGCTGAGCGTCACACATCCACTAAAAAGCAATGAGAAATCCGCCAGATTCCGCTAGATTCTAAAAAATATCCGCTAAATTTCCCACTAGGGCCTGTTTTATTGAAAAACACTGCAATTTTGTATGATAAATACCTTTATCATTCCTAAAAGCTCCTCAAAACTACGAGAGCTGAAATAACATATAAAATAGTCTTTCAAGGAGTCTAACTATAGAACACTTGAGCCTTCAGTGCTGCGGTGGTCGTCATTGGTGAACCTCATAACAGATGAGGCTAAAGGTTATTTATGTTCGCACTGATGAAAAAACAAACTCACATGTCAACGAAAAACACATCGAGGTCTTTGTCGCCGCTGTTGTCGTCTGACACCCTCTCCACAGGACCGCTGGTACTTGTTGAGGGACCAGACAGGTAACTTGATTGCACATACGTTGCAGATGTCCCGATTGCAATAGCAACTGCCGCGGGGAGTTCGTAATCAAAACAACTTTTCTGGTGTCGCTTCAACCCCGCTCTTACGACGAGGATGGCATTTGTTGTTTCCGGCTTCAGCTTGTTCCCCAGCTTGGATTTTACTATGTTAAGCTGGCTAAATGTCCTCTCTACTTCGGCATTTGAATGCGGCAGCACGAGCATCAACATGGCAAATCCGGCCAGCTCAACGAACGGGTTTTCGCTGCAGGCGTCCTTATAGGAGTGAACTTCACACCAGAGGGCGCGCAGAGTCCACAGATTGGTGCATCGCAGCTCGTTCGTTATTTATTTCTTAGAAAGCAATCGCCGCTTTGAAACCTCACGGATTTGTTTGTCTGAGATAGGCGGAGCAAGTGAACAGGAGCCTCTGAAGTTAAACAATTTCCGCATTTTTAGAGAACACGGAAATGGTTTCTTGCAGGGCGATTTCGAATGGGTCCACTGCGTGAGGAATCCACCAGAAACCCGCTATGTACAAAAATAGCCCGTCAGAAAATCCGCTAGCCGCTAGACTGATTTTTTGCCGTCAAAATAAAATAAAATCCGCCAGACTTAGCGGGAAATCCACTAAATTGGCATCACTGGTTGGGATGCGTTGGATCGGCTGTGGCGCACGCTCCGGCTCACGTATCATCTGCCTCGTCTATCTCGTACTACGTCGATGACAGACAGTGTTGCTGTAGTGTGAGGTGCTTGCAACTTGCTGAGCTCTTCCCTGATCGCCGACCTGATGAGTTTTCGCAGGGCATCCATGTCACTTCGCTGGCGTCCAGAGAAGACATTGGCAGGTGCATACTTTATGTCTCGATTGTACTGTCGAGCCCGCTGTTCTAGCGTTTTCTCGATGGCTGTCGCTTCCGTACGAAACTCCGCAACTGTTCGTGGTGGGTTGCGGACGAGAACAGCGAATAGCTCTTGCTTCACCCCACGCATGAGGTGGCGCAGCTTCTTGTCTTCAGTCGTATGGGAATTTGCGCGCTTGAACAGGCGGATCATGTCCTCTATATACATTGCGACACTTTCGTTGGTGAGTTGGTTCCTGGATTCGAGCACAGCCTGCGCCTTTTCTTTGCGATCCGCGCTGGCATAAGTCGCCAGAGCTTGTCGCCGAAATTCATCCCAGGTCGTAAAGGAGGTTTCATGGTTCTCATACCACGTCTTTGCGAAGTCCTCCAATGTAAACTATACGCGGCGGAGCTTCTCTCTCTCGTCCCAACCGTTCAAACGTGCCACTCTCTCAAAGAGGTTCAGCCAATCTTCTACGTCTTCATACGAGTCGCCATGAAATACTGGTGGCTGGTGAGGCTGATTTATCACCACTTGGGCTGGTGTTACATGACTTGTCATGGTGGCGGCGTCCATTGACTGAGTTCCCCGTGGCGTGAAGTGGAGTGGACTGAATTCTGGTGAATCACCTCGAAGACGGCGACTGGTCCTCTGATGCACAGGTGTCGGCTCCGCAGGATCAACTCGCTGGTGGTCGGGGCTACGCTGTCTTGCGTTCGTAGGGCTTTGATTCATTACCCAGCACGTCCACCAGAAATGTAACGATGTTGAAGGACTCGGGGTGTAATAAAACGTATTTATTAAAGGGTGAACCTGTGCCCACAACTCAGAGGGACTATGGTCGTAGCACGTTACAGCAGAACACCAAAGATGTCTTCTTCTGCTTCTTCAAGAAGAGTCCCAAGCGCGTGGCGCGCATCAGCAGGGGCCAGCTGGGTTCTCGTGCTATCATTGTCTCTGCGCAACACTAGACGGCGCACATGTATGTCCCTGTGCGCGAGGTGATGGGCGCGTTGTTTGAATGCAGGCACTATGTCGCGGCAATATAACTGTCCGTAGCGGCCTTGGTACATGGCGTGCCACTAAATTTGTGGTGCGAATGGCTTACTTGGGATGTAGAAACAGCGCAAAAAATATAGACAAGGACAGAGGATGAGACGACCACCAACTAGCATGAAGCATCAACTAGCCCAACTTTCGCTAATATTGCGAATGGTTTGATGATGCTCAAGCCTAAACGCTCATAAAACTTAAAAAAAAACAGCATTTCAGGGTCCTTTTAAGAGAGTCTAAAACGGGCAATATGAAAGCCGTTCCTCCAGTCTTTTCCGTGACAGTGCTGCACATGTTACAGGCCTGGCAGTTCTCTCTTCGTTGCTCATGTCAACAGTGGTAAAAGAAGCAGCCATAAAAGAGGCATGTAATATAAAAGGTACTTCATTCACAGCTGTACATAGATGGTAGATAGATAAAAGTTGTCAGAAGTGCTACGTCCCATTTTATGAAAAAACAAACAAACAAAAAAGATGCTGCTGTCTCTATGAAATATCATACATTTACTTGACAGTTATCGCCAGGCTTGCAGCCAAGAGAGGAGGCTAGAAGCCTGCCACATCCTCTTTGGATGGAGGGGTTGTTTTACCAAGAACAAATAGTTTTCCAGGCCGTCAACAAATGCCCCCCCCCCCCCCCCCCATCTTTTCCCTTGAAAAAAAAAAATTTTAAAATCCTGGCTACGGGCCGATTGTTGCTGCAGCATAAAATGCTGGAAAATGGAAAAAGCAACTAGAAAGAGAGCCAAACTTGGCAATTCCAATTGTGAAATTTACGACATTCTCTGCACTTAGTCATTACGCCAGAAACAGGTGAGTGACTGTAAATGCACTTGTGCTTATCTGTGTAACCAAGTAACATTGTTAAACCAACGAGTGCTAACTCTGATGTTAGATAAATGGAGCTGCTGAAAGGCAAGAGCTTAAGCAGCTCTTCTAGGGCATCAACAGTTGTGCTAGACTGGCACAGCAAAGTTGCCAGAAACAGGTGAGTGACTGTAAATGCACTTGTGCTTATCTGTGTAACCGAGTAACATTGTTAAACCAACGAGTGCTAACTCTGATGTTAGATAAATGGAGCTGCTGAAAGGCAAGAGCTTAAGCAGCTCTTCTAGGGCATCAACAGTTGTGCTAGACTGGCACAGCAAAGTTGCAAACAACAATAGCTACAACAAATTGTGTAAAGTTTAGTTTCTATGACAAGACATACTTATTCAACAGAAGACATTTCAACAGAGACTTGTAGAAATGAATTTACAGTTTATCACTCGGTGGAGCCCCACCCATAAAGTGGGGGCCAAAAGTTTGAACACCTCAAAGCACAGCCACAACAGATGTTGATGAAGATGAGGTTATGTACAGTGGTAATGGAGGGAATGCAAATGTAGATGTGATTAAAGGCGACAAGAAAGGGTTAAATGCTATCGTAACCATAACTTAGATGGACACAATAGATGATTGCAGAAATCTTTGTCACACCATGCCAGTCAGATCACTTCAAATCCAGGCAATTATATAAGAGGAGATGAGAACAAGTACAACACAACCATTTTGATGCATTGAATAGAGCCCAAACAAACCAGGATACCACATACATTCTCACATTGCCATTGAGCTAAAAAAACGAGCAATACAATGGGTGTGTTTAAATTGATTGACAGGACAAGTCTGTTGCCAGCAAGAGTTTGCAGTATGTAGGCATTTCATGTCCAATATCTAAAAAATAGTTTGTATTCCATTTGTGTAGCGTATAGTTATACACATGTGTAATACAGCATCTGCAAGCACCAATCACCATTTGCTCCATTTCGAGGGAATACAGTGATAGTGACACCCACATGGTGTTTTTCCAGCAGTCGTCTTGATGCGGTGGTTGAGGGCTTTTCAGAAAAAGCCTGCACTCTGAAGTTAAATGCACATATACAATACGCACTATACAAGGCGCACAGGGATGAACACGACAGGCAAGGAACTTCTGTCAGCGCTTGGCAGGGACCCCTGTGCGGCGACTCAGGATGACGTAGTCGGCTGCGTCTCCCGACGGACTCGTCTCGTCGGTGCGATAGCCAAGCGCCTTCTGGTAGAATGCCAGGGCTCCCGTGTTGCTCTTGAAGACGGTCAGGACGGTCTTGCACATGCGGAAGTGGGCCGCCAGCTGATCCAGCAGGTGCATCAGGTGTGAGCCCAGGCCTTTACGCTGCACCCGCGACTCTAGTTGCAGCTCGTAGCAGTAAAGCACCGACATGCCGCCGTCCATGTCAAAACTGAAACGTACAAAGCAAAACAAGCATGCACGATGGTTTAGGCAGACGTGACTAAACACCATATCTTCAAATGTTCAGTTATCACAATATACAGGATGCACCGAATGCTGTGAATACAGAATGAGAAAAATAAAGCGAATTTATACAGTGATTAAGAAGGGAAATCTGGGCTATTTGGTAACAGTTCATTTTATTATTGGCTTAATGCACAAGACAGGACAAGGATTAAGACCAAGGATGTGACCACAATAGCGTTGACTCTCAACCGAAGTTCATTAGAAGAAATGGCACAAATAAATACAAAGTCAATCTGACTATTGATAGAGCAACTGCTTGTGTGTAGCAGAGTCAGCCAGGTGACATACCAAATTTTCAGGACACTTGAAACACCCACACATGCAAAAAAAAAAAACTTACATACAAAACAAGACCAACTCACACACACAAACATGTGATGCAACCTTATCAGGTGCCAGTCAAGAAAAGTTACAATTAAGAAAAACCTCCTTCTTTTACACTAAGGGCAACAGATGGATGGCTTATGCAGTGATGGAAATGACTTTTTACTTTTTGGAGCATACTTTGGAGCAGGAAAAGTACTGCTTTGTAACAGCCACAAGTGTTTTTGGTTTTTGGAGCAGAAAAAAAAAAATGATAGTTTAGAGCAGCTACTGATGTTTCAGGAGGAGATATTATATTTTCACAGATTACTTGGAGGACAGAGCATTGTCAAAGCATCTTGTAAATACTAATCTATTTAACAGACAACAATCAATTTCAATTTCATGAAGCAAACAATGGCAGGTTGCCAAAAATGTCATAACGGTTGATTAAGCGAGTTGGTGATTTAGGAGCAAAGTGATGTATTGGGCTAGATGGTTTTTCATGACAGAAAAAAATTGCGCTGCAGTTGTAGCGAAGAACAAAGTTACGGGAGAAGAGAAGGAATGAAGTGGACTGTGCCCACGAAACTAGTAAAGAGGGCCATTGCTTACACAAGCATGACACAATCTATTAAAAGATGCTGCGCACACAGATGCAATGATAGCCTTAACCTGCAAATGCAGCGCCTACGAGAAAATGGCTACCCAGACGACGTACTGGTATCAGTTGGGGAGAACATTCTAAAAGAGATCAAACAAAGAAAAAGCAAAGAGCCCACTAAACATGACAAGAAGCGTGTAGTGATCCCATAGGTTCACAAAGCATCCCATAAATTGAAAAAGATAGGAGCCAGGCATGAGCTGAATGTTGCGTTCTCAGCTCCTGTCAAGTTGAAAGGAATGTGCCAAAAAATGAACAATCCCGATGCGAAGAAAAAAGAATGCCAAACATGTCATGCTAAAAAGTATATTGAATGTGAATTAGGCATCGTATACTCTACCCCACTAAAATGTGGCAAGGCACACGTTGGGCGATCGGAAAGATGCATCAACGAGCAGATCAAAGAGCATCACTACGCATGCCAGCAGACAGCGATCACAGGCAACCTTTCCATGTACTGCAGGGAGTGTCGATGCAGCAAAACATTTAAAAAAATCTACAATACTGGCCAAATCAAAGGATAAGACTACACGCAAAATTTTGGAAGCCTTTCACATAACCAGTGATGGAAGTGACATTTCAATTTTTTGAGCACATTCAGGAGCGAAAAAAATGGTGCTTTGGAGTAGCCTCGACTGCTTCTGGAGCAGAAAAACATGCTACCTTGGAGGAGCAAAATATTCCAAACGACTCCTCGACATTATTGCATCATTTAACCCTGTTATACACATTATTATTTATTATTAAACAGACTGCACACACAATAATCACTGAAAATTGCAAGAAACATAATTAAATGAATGGATCGTCAATGAACATAAAGTAAGTGCTGTTTTCATATTTTGCAAAAATAGCCAGTATTGGAAATTTCAAAAATCAAATAAGCTAAACGAGCCAACCTTTCAAATGCTTCTTCTTGTGACATTAAACAGATCAAAGCTGATGAACCTTCTAAATGTAACCAGTCACATATCAAGGCCGTCAAAGAAGAACCAAGAAGTCTCGCACGCATTTCACCAAAATAGTCTGCTAGTAAGTGTAGAGAAAAGAACGAGCCGCCTTCCCTATGGCGAAGCCCACCCGTTCAACTCTTCTTTATTCTGGATGCACTGCCCTGATCCTAATGATGATTGCCACTCCTTATTTCCACACAATTTGCAACATGCTCCACGTCCTGACAGTGAAGCCTCATGATGAACAATATCACAGTTGCTGTGAACACTAAACACACAATGTTTGTCGCTAATAGTTTAAGGTCCAAGCCAATCAACGTGGAACAATTCGGGCTTTCTCTTGCGCCTGGTTTTCCAGAAATGCTTCCGACGTGTGTTCCATATCCGTGCCCAGGGTGAACTTGCACTCTCGCTGATCAGTTTTCGTTGGCAGAAACATGGTTTTTTCTGTGAGGTTCAGGTGTAGCTCATTTTGAGAAGCTTTGTTTTTGAATTTCTTACCTTGGCTGTGTTCACCTTGGTAACACTATCCTTCTGCTTCCACCCCGGACTTCCTTGCTTCTTTCGCCGCTGTGGCCCCATCTCGATATAACTAATCGTCAGTGAAGTAGCTTGTACGGTCTGCATTCTTCTCCCCCTTGATGTTTGCATTACTAGTAAAGCTCTTAGGACTCGTATAGGCAGCAGGCTCCTGTGCCTTCACAGTTCATCTCTTGCTTGAATGCATCTTAATTTGTTTCTGCCAGACATTTCTACACGTGGCTGCGATGGCTGTACAACATATGAATCTGTTGGCTTTAGCTTGTACCCATTCTTAATATCCCATGAATGCCCTTTTAGATCTTCAAAGGCTTCTCGCTTTTCGACCTTAGAACTTTCTTCCTCCAACATGTGCACTTGAGTTGTAACTGTTATGTCGTTTGCTTCATTGATAGTGTACGCTGATGGGAGTTCTAAAGGCGTGGGCCAGTTTTTCGGAAGTATCGGTTGTTCTGTGAGTGCTTGGATGCTCATTACCGTAGTGAAATCGGCGGCTTTTTGGCTTCCAGCACGTTCAGCGATTCGTCGTGAGTCTGAGTCGTACAGTTTCCGTAGGACAAGATAGCTGCTGAAGAAGTAGAGGCTAGATGCTGGCACCCAATACGAAGAGTGCGTGTTAGCTAGTACTTCTGTCCTAATCCCTTGCCTCATAGCCTTCAATGCCTCCAAGTGAGCTTGCTGAGCATTCAATACGTCCACGATCTTATATTCCACTCTGACCTTGGCTAGAATGATCAGGTGTCCATAAATCTCTGCTTCACCCGTCTCAGTTTCCAAGTGATCAATATGATGTGGGTCTTCTACTTGCTTGTCAATTTATTTACGAAGCTTGTAATGCTCAATCACAATTCAATGAATATCTCGTAACTCACTTACTGATGGATGCTCCAAGTGTATAAACGTTCAATGTTGGCGATGGCTTCCGTGACAGCCTTGCGCACTTCATTGCACCTTCAAAATAGAGCCTCCATTATCCGGTCCAGTGTCGAAAACATGAGAAACCACTGGCCGGTCACGTCACGAGGTGAAGTCGCAGTCAACATTGTATTCGTCACAAACGCTTCGAAGCATGAAGTCTCAAGCAATGTCGAGGTGTCATGCTTCTTGATCTGGTTCTTAGGAATGGTTTGGCTTCGCACATCAGCTTCAACAAACGCGTTCGTAACGACAGTCCCCCAGGCTTCAAATGCTGTCGAAAAATCGTAAAGTCCGCTTGGTCTCACGCTTAAAGGTCCTGTCTCTTAGGTTTCACGGCACCAAAATGTAGACAAAAGGACGAGCCACCGTTCCCATGGCAAAGCCCACTCGTTCACTTCTACTTTATTCTAAATGACCTGCCCTGATCCTAAAGATGATTGCCACTCCTCATTTCCCGCAATTTCCAACAATAAAGTCCAAATATAAAACTATGTGAGATACATGTAGAAATTGCTGGTGCGTGCAGCATTGTCAACGTTCTAGTATACTGCTACTATAAAGCTGTATACTAGCTGACAGTGCACAGATTGTTTTTTTTTTAAAGGCTCGTAAGGTCATTATTTTCCCCAATGCTACTTTGGGGCATGTTCGGAGCAGTTACTAGCAAATATTGCCCTTTGGAGCCACATTTCACTATTGGACCAGTTTGGAGCAGCACTTCATATTAGACCAAGAAAGCGCATGTGTCAGTTTTAGCTCTATTCTACTAATCCCCACGGAAATCGAATTCATCAAAACTCAAAAAAAGCAATTGAGTCAGCATACTCGGATAAAAACTTTGAATCAGCACCATATATGGTAACCGCTATCACCCCATGTGTAGCATCTGAAGACAGTTGGGCAAGATTGTCGCGCCCCATCCTCATCGTAAACAGACTTTTCTCTTTACTGGAAGCTGACACGAGTAGGGGGTCACCATGGGTCACTTTGCTCGATCGTGCATGCATGTTTAAATATTCGTGTAAAATACCTTCTAAGCTATGTTTGCTGTTGATATTTTGCAGATGGTATGTTAACAGAAATCGATCCCGCAGGCTATCTCGACCACGGGAGCAATCTAGGCAGCAGCAACAAACAAATGACCTTTTCAACGGAATGCTTATTTCATGTAGAGCGCCCGTCACCGATTCTTGTCGGGAACTGAGCACCTATACCCAGTGTCCTGGCCAGGTCATGTTGCATCAGGAGGATCGCCCAAGTGACCATTGGAAAGTTGGAATCTGCCAGACTACTGGAAGCGTCTGCGCATCCTCATGAGCTCCGACGTCACCAACTGGGTACTTAAAGGAGGCCTCAACTGAACACAGCATCACACAGGAGCATTCCAGGCTGCAACACCAAACAAAGAGCTTATTTTGTGCAGGCTCGTCCTGTTCATATTGTTACGGAAAAGAAGAGATGCTGTATCGACGAGGCTGTGGATTAGATGTATTTGAAACCAGCAGTAATGGCGTGACCAGTTGACCAGTGATCGAGCGGTACAAC